GGATGGCAATTAAATAGAAAGAGTGAAAAAGTATACCTTCATCTTTCTTTCAGCGCTGCTGTCTGATTTTAGTCTCATATTCATTTTTGCATTTCTCTGGAAGATGCTGATACTGTCAGACTGAGATCTTTTTGACTTGTGCTGATGGATTAAGTGGTCAGCTGCACTTCTGCCTGAGGCTGTTGCCTCTGGAACAGGAATGACTGAACAGCATATAGTGTCACTCAGGAATACCCATGGGTAGTCTGGCATGTTACCTTAAACTGACTGTCAAGGATGGATATGACCTGTTGTCACTGGAAGTGCTGCTTACAATTTCAGGAAAAGGTGGTGATTTGACAGTAGAAAGACTAATGCATCTTTACCATGGAGTTACAATGAGCAGAGATTTGCCAGAGTCTAGCAATACTTATTAATCTACCTCTTGTGGGTAGAGGGCAGATTTGGCACAGTTTTCAAGTGACAACTCTAGCAAGATTTGAAAAAGGATTTTTTTTAAGTGACTACAACCTTAAATTGAAATTCAAATCTTTGAATGCATGATACAGCAATAGCTTCACAAAACTGCAGGGGGAAGCAGATGACTACTAATGAGTGACTTGGAAATAGTATTTGAAGCTGAAAAATATATACCTTATCTGTTTAAATTCTTTGCTTCTGTGCACCCTTTGAACCCCAGTAACTTTAAATTGACTGCTACTTGGTGACCTTACAAAAGGGTATATGAGATGCAGATGTGCATTGTCACACTGTATAAATAGCCTTACAGAGAAGAGAGTACACATTTGCTGCTCTTGACAAAACTGGAGCCAAGAACAGTTCCCTAGCAAAGTTAAATCAATTGATCAAATAAAATGCATAGGAACAGCCAGAGGAAGCATAGTTGGAAGCGTTACAAGCTAAGGGTGTTTGTCCTTCAGCTCTCACCAGCTATATTTAAAGATTTTGCTTCCAGCACTTTTAATATATTGGTTACTTCCAAAACAAACAGTGAAAATGTGTAGGTTGCTTTCCTCTCTAATAGTAGAATAATGCTTAATGCTTTGATTTTTAACCCTGAGTTTTTTGGCAGAGTAGCTGAGGTTCAGGTACTGTATTTGATGGCCTTTCTTTTGAGTTGTTGTACTTTACTGTCAGAAAGCCAAGCTGTCTTTTCTCATTACTTCAGATCATGCCTTAATTTTCAGCACCTTTTGCTTGCCAGGCAGGTTTATATTAAGATCCTAATTTCTTCCAAGTGTGGACAATTGTTATTCAGGATCCAAATCTGTAAACATTTCTAATCAGATTCTTTAAGAATCATATTACTAGTTAAATGTAGTTATTTCTTCTAGACTTTAAAAAATAGCTTTTTTACTTTGTACATCAAAAACTAATGCCTACCATTTGGAATTTGTCATCTTTGTGTTAATAACATTTGTAAAAAAACCCCAAACCTTAAGATTTTGCTGACTTTGAACACCAGAAAATCATAATGGAGTGTAAGTTGGGGAAGTTGTGCATGACCTCAGTATCGTATATACGAGCAGCCTCAGGGAACATACTGGGTCAAGATGTCTTTTCCTTAGGCAGAGCACTGGAGGAGTTCAGTCTGACCTACTTCCCTCGCTGAGGAAAGGGTAGCCTGCCCTGCAGCTACTTAAATCTTTTTCTGAAAAATGAGTGGGTGGGGACACTGAAATGACATTGTGCAAAATTTGTCCCAAGGACAAGTCACTTGCAATTTTTTCACTCTGGGCTGATATGATCACAGTAAACTGATGACCAGCCAATTTGCAATTGTCCACCGAAGCTGGAAATGCAGCATTCTGAGTGAAGAGGTTATATCTTCTAACAGTGCTTTGGTTTTTGTTTGGTTGGGTTTTTTACCCTGAATTTGAATAGAAGACAGATTCTAACAGCATCCATTGGAGCAGTCTTTTCAGCTTAAATGTAAATTCACCCAAAATAGTTGTCTTTCCACTGCTTTTGTGTTAGGATTTTCTGTTAAAGAAATGTATGTATGGAGGAATAAATGATGTATTTATTTCACAAATACATAATGTCCTTTAGGAGGCAGTGCGTTTAGGATGTGATATGCTAATACGTATGCCTTTACATTTTGTGGAAAAGCCAGAGGAATTTGTTGTTAGGGTTTGTCTGCTATTATGTACTGCTTTATGGGTCATAGTTCAAATGCAAATCCAGAATAATGCATGAGGTACCCTATGGACTTTACCTTTCTGAAAAATACTGTGAAAACTTGTACATTTTGGAACTTCAGGGACAGCCTGAAACCCGTAACACAGGGATAGCTTGAAAATGTTGGCCGAGCGATAACAGAAATACTGGTTTTGAACCAGGACTGCTTTACTTGCATTGCTGCTTTCCAGGGGGCTGAGTAAGCTGCAAAACCATATTCGGTGTTCTTAACAGTGCTGCTGGCGTCTGAAACATGCTTAGATGACACCTTTTTCGGGTCAAATAGTCAGAAGTGACCACAAGACTGTCACTGGCATTTGTATGTCTGTAACAGTTTCTGACTAATGGTTCTCTATCCTTCAAGTTTGTGCAGTGTGATTCACAGGCAAGAGGACATACCAAGGAACAGGCTTTTTGAGGAGAAGAGTTGAATGAATCATCAGCTTCCCAGCATGACAGTCCTTAAACCTTTCAGTTGCTCAGAACTTTAATCTGCCTGTGTTTCCCCAGCAAACATGGCCATACAGCCACCTTGGTCTTTCTTCTGTGCTGTTGAGACTTGAGGTCACAGTCCTCTTGGCTACCTGAGAAGGATTTTTTTTTTGTTCCTTTTAATTTTTTTTAAAAAATATAAAATTTAGTCTCCTGAAGCCTTCTTGCTTCAAATCACTTTATATTAGTATTTAATATTTAACTGGAGTAAATGTAATATTTTGTAATAATTTTAATAAAGACAATAATGATAATGCAGGTAGAGCTTTTCATCCAGTATTCCTTGATTTTTAGGGTTTCTTTATCGGGAGTACTATGACCATGCTGTAGTTCTCATTTTATATGAAAAAAATTCTTTCATTCTTGTAGAGTTGTAACTCTACCTTATGCAACAGTGAATCAGTTAATGGCAATTAAAGGCCAGTTCTAAATAGGTCATGAGCAGCGAGTCAGTAGGGCTAGTGTTTCAAGGATTTCTTATCTTGAATGAGGGTTATCTATGTAGATCTTTCATGTTTTCCAGTAGGATCATCATCTCCAAACCTGTTCTGTGCTGAAATCTGGCTGCTTTGTTCACTGGTATGAAAATTGCTTTTGTTGTGCTTTCATTCTACAGCTGTTCAGTGTTTTAAAATATTCTTTCCATGGAGGGCCAACTGTGCATGTGGCAGTGACTGTGCTGGACCTGTTCTGCCTGCCACTTTGAAAGTTTGGGTACAGCTTTCAAATACAGTTATGTACTCCCTGTGGTGAACAGCAGAATCCTGCATTTATACGAAGAATTTATACTTTTAATGTGGCTTGTGCCCTAGGTGCTCAAATTTGTTTGTATACTCATTATTTAGAAAACACCAGCTGGCTTGTGTACATTGGTGCAAGGGACATTGCTGAAGGACTTGTGTGGCTTTGTCAGTCCACCCTGGAGGAAAGTTAGTTTCTAAATAGTGCTGCATGTTTTGCCTGACCTATGTTTTGTTGGGTTTTGTTTTTGTTTTTAAATGTGAGGAGCAATGAGTATTAGAAAACGTATTTAATAGGCGGTAGGAAAAATTTAGTGATCTAGGCATGTATTGAAAGGGTCAGATGATATTTTACTGTGTAATTTTGTGTCTCTCACAACTGAATGCCATTCCCCTGAGCGTATTTTTCAGAGCATTGTGATCTGTTATTACCAAGACGGTGACAGTGGTCGGGTGAATTACTTTCCAAAACCAATAAAAGCAAGAGGAGAGAACCTCTGATTTTGTATTGTTTGTCAGCTACTTGGCATAGCTGTGAGATGGTGCAGCGCTCCACAAAGAGTACTATATTTAGCTGTTTCCAAGGAGATGTTCTGTGCGATATTGATAATTGCATTAATCCTTGATTTACACAATCTGCAGGAAAGGAAACTGCTCCTTTTCCTAGTGTTGGCTTTTTAATTGCTCGATGATCTGTAATTTATAGACACCTTGATTTCAGTGATTTGTGTGTGTTGGGGGCAAAATCAGCAGTTCAAGTGATCATTTTTCTGCCACAGAAATGATGCATGAACATGAGCATTGCTTCTTGATGTTACTGTCTTACTTACACTGCTTTGGTTTTACTTGTGTGAGGTATGTCTGCATGTAAAAGACTTCCATTGTAAATAGGTTGAAGGGATGGCTTGATGACATCCTGTGTTTTCTGTGTCAAAGGCTAAGAGCATTCATGTCAACTTCACTTGTGCCAAGAGTACTGTTAAGATATTCATGGTTGAAAACACAACTCTGCTCAGCATGTGCAATTTTCACTGTATAACAGAACAATCTTCCTGTCTCTGGGTCTGATGGTTTAGGCACTCTCTGCATAAGAAATCTTTCAGGGCAGTAACATCCATGGACCTGTTTCTGATGCAGTCAGCTCAACATGCTTTGTACATCTCTGAAAACAACTATGAATTTCTGAGGTGGAATTATTTCAATCAAAATTTTTGAGACTTTACATCTAAAATATATTCTACATAGTTGACCTGCACTGATTGAATTAAATTGAGTTGGAAAGGAGAAGCAAACAGCCAGCTAAAAAGCTAATGTATGAGTTTAAACCATGTAATTCACTATGAATGCTCTTTCTGAATACTGTTGTCCACGAACTGGAGCTTTTTAATTGCCTTGTTATACTGTGTGTTTCATGGATATATAAAGTAAATCACATCACGATGACTACAAGCAAGCAATCGTGGTACTAGTTAAAATTCTTCAGGTTATATTTTATTTTGATTTCCATTCATACTTTATTTGGAACTGCAGCTGACCTACTTGTTCATTTCAATTAAATACTTTGAGACAATGTCTTTTCTTTTGTAGAAAAGAAGAAAGGATAGCACAATGCTGAAGGAGAAAGGAAATGAGCAGTTCAAGAAAGGAGGTGGGTTGATAATCTTTTAACACCATATGGATGTTAGAGGATTTTAATTAATACTTAGCCATCATGGTGATGTTGCAGAAAACTGATAGGAAGATGTCACACCTATCATTATTCAAACTTATCACATATATCATTTTGCATCCAGCTCTAGAGAACAGAAAGAGATACCAGACCTCCTTTAAGAGTTAAGTTGAAATCACAAAGACTTGGATTACTAAAGCAGGATTCTCATGAAAGCTAAGTGTTTAAATCCAAGAACATGATACAGAATTGACTGCCTTCCAAGTGCCAGGCTTGCTTTTACTAATCAGAAAAGGCTTCCACTAGGATCTGAGTTTTGCTAATGCAGGACTCGGTGGCTCAGTAGCTCTGTCGTACCTTTGTATGAAAAAAGTTGCATGTTTCTTTTTATCCACTGACTCTGTCTGTTACAAGTTTTATTTATGTATGTGTGTGTACATATATATATACAGACATCTGTATATACATGTACACACATATGTACATCTATATGTACCTACATGTACATCTGCATACATATATGCATACATGTATATGTGTATATGGAGATCTACACACGTCTGTGTATATATATAGATGTACATGCATACACACATTTTAAAAAAATAATCTAGAGGTATGTAAATTTCTAGTTTATGCCAGAACTGGACATGTTCTGAACATACCTAATACATAACAACAGGGTTGAGGTCAGTAATAAATAACTGTGCCAATGCTTTTAATTAAAAAGCATGATGGGGGAAGCGATTTTGACATCTACCTTTCATTTAATGTTCTGGTGGCTAGAGGATTCACAAAGAAGACAGGAAATGCAGATTCATACTTTACTCAGTCAGCAGGGACACAAACAAGTAACTTCCCTTTCCCAGAAGTCCCTGATAACCAGACAGTGACCTTTGTGTTGGGGGTCTCTTATTGTGTGCTAAGAGAGCAAGATTCCTGGGGAATGACTTACCAATTCAGGCAAGCGTCAGAGCAGGCAGAAGGAAACTGCTTGGACCATGAAAGCAGCAAGCCTGTAACGTTGGCTGAATCATCTTGTGAAGTCTCATCCATAGTCTCTTCTTGACAAATTCTTTGGCAAATATTTTCAGTGTGCCTGTGCCTGCCAAAGTGCTTACTGATGAGAAATACACAAACTTCTAAGCACCTGGATGGTCACCAGCTAATATGCACAGAAAGCATTGCTCTGTTTTGAGGACAATGCGCTTGTCAGCTGGCAGGGCATTGTTCAGAGTCAGGATAGGGCATTTTCACTCTTGACTGTGCCTTTATTAGAAAACGAATAACTTGATAATCCCATGTGGTTTACCACTGGTCCCTGCTTTACACCAGATGGATGACAGATGACCTTCAGGTGATAATGGATTCGTGATGAGTGACCTTTAAGTCAGTTACTGAAGATGATGGGACAAATAAAATATCTTCGTAGCTACTTTGAACAGGTATCGGTGCAGTGACATGCTTCAGCACGTGCTTCCTTTCAGATCAAGGATACACTTAATCTAATGAGATTCTACCTCTAAGGCTGGTACTCAAATAGAATGAAACAATTTCAGGGATAAGAATTATATGCACATCATGCTGTACTTGTTACATTAAGCTCAGGACTATATTTCTGCTTTTACAAGGGTGTTGATTCTGAAATAATGAATTGTCATTGATCTATGTACTACTTAGTAATGCACTTTGAAAGCAGCTCCTGATTCCAGTTTAATATTGCATCATATATTGAGAAATGTTTCCAAAGAAATCTTAGCCGTGTGGTTCACTGACTGTACTGGCATTTGAAATAAATGGTCTGTTCTGGTTTATTTTTCCTATGGCATTTGCAGACTATGGAGAGGCAGAAGACTCTTACACGAAGGCTCTGCAGATTTGTCCAGCCTGCTTCCAGAAAGATAGGGCTGTTTTGTTCTCAAACAGAGCTGCCGCAAAAATGAAACAGGTGAATATTCTTTTTATGAAACACCATGTATTGATTATATGACAAACACAATAACGAAGTCATTAGGGGTGCATAAAGGAGGGCAAAAGAATAAAGCTGTTTGCAGGTTTTGCTGCTTGCTCAGTCTCTCATGCTCCCAGTAGAAATGCTGGCACGCTTGGTTTTGCTGAAGATGAATACCACCCTGAAAATTGCAATTGGAACAGCTGTTCAAAGTTGCTCTGCTGCATTATGTTTAAAACACTGATTTTTCTTTCATTCTCTCTGTTTTAATGAAATTCAAAGTTCATGCGGAACAGATGTCTTTAAGCATGTTTAGTTTATGAAGACCATGTATTAGATTGTTTAGAATTGTAGCTAGTAAGTGGGTTTTTGAAAGCCTGGATTGTCAGATACTTGTCTTCATTTAATTGGCTCAAATGCTTTGAGGTGTAAGCAGAACTTCCTAACTATGGCTTTATTAATTTAGTTAATCTGCTTCCTTCACAGTTGTGGTATAGTAGGACAGACGTATATAGTAGGGCATGGTCTGGATAGAATGGCTGCAGCTTTCTTCATAGGTTTTCTATTCCTTGACCAGGGACAGGTGCCCAGATGGTACCAGAAATAGCAATGCACTTAGGTAGCATGGAAGGCGTAGAACACAATCTGTCTAAACAGAAGCTTTCACTTCTTTAGAAAGAGGAGATGCTAAGAATTCAGGAGAAACGACTCCCTATTTTTGCCTTTGTTTTTAAGATTAAATTATTACAGAAGAATAGCACAGTAACTCCTATCCTCAGCTTACCCTCCTGCAAAGGGAACTTTCTTACGCTTTTCCTCCAGTATTGAGAGAGATGCAGCTCTGTTTAGAAATGTATCTTGCAGCCATATTTAGGCATAAATAAATAAATTCTTACTCAGTGTAGGCTATTCTTGTTCAGCCAGAATTATCTAACTTGCTGTTGGGATACTGAATTGTTTGAGCAGACAAGAAAAAATGGAATCAAATCTGTAATAACAGATGATGGAGCCTATCAAATATGAAAGCTGTAAACTGGAAAACCTCCTCATAATCCTGATGTTAACTACTCGTATCACTAGGAAACTAATCCACTAGTCCCCAAATGAGCCCAAGATGATAAAAGAACTGTGCACAAACTAGTGTATTTCACTGGCATAGATCAGTGGAACTTGACAGACCAATACATTACTCTGAAAATAGATTCATATTGTTAATAACTTCCCCATCAAGTTTGTTCTTCCATACCTGCTGCACCCATTTGCTTTGCACTACAATAAAAGCTTATGAGGCAAGAATCTGTGAGACAGATTCTGTTTTGTGGAGGAGAAAATAGTTCCTTGGGTGTAGAAAGATTACAGCTACGTAGATCAACAATACAAGCACGGAACAGCCTGATTTATTTTTTTTTAAATATTTTTTTTAAAGCACTTTTAGTGTGGATGAAAATAGGATCTCTGTCTCAGCTCTTTTGGGTTTGTTTGGTTGGGTTTTTTTTCTTGTTTCATTATAAACAGATTGCCTGGCTCTCATCTTCTCACCATGGTTGTCTGGGTGCACTAAAATCTTGTCTCTACCACTTCTGGAAGTCTCACACGTTGTTCCTTGTAGAGGAAGCTGTATTAGTGCTAAGGGCAGTGTCTGCTTTCCAAATGTCTTAGTACAGACAAGAATTTATCTCGGAGTCTTGGGAACTGTCTATTCCAACCCCTTAATTAATTGACAAAGGTAGAGAAGCCGTAGGTCGGCTAAGCCAAGGCCTGCAGATGTGTCTCAGCCTTTTGAGCGTAGCTTGCTGCCGGCTGCTCAGGGCAGACCGATTAGCGGGGCAGCCATGCAATTTGAACACTGGCAGCCTTCACAGAGAGGAAGCTAATCACTGGTAAAGAGCTTTACAGCAGAAGCAATGGTATGAAAAGCCTTGATTACGTGAACATCCCGATTCCTTGGAATGCCAGACAAACCATTTGCTTGCCATTGCAAATAATCTGTTTCCCAAGAAATATGATTAAGTATAATAAAACTGTTTTGTGTTCTAGGACAAGACAGAAGCTGCCCTAAGTGACTGCAGCAAAGGTATGACTTTTTTTTCAGTGTGCTGCTCTGTGCCAGATCTTTCACATACAATTATGCCAGTTAGTGCCTTACTGCAGAGCTGTAATTTTGGGCATAAGGGTCCTTAAAGAATTTATAGAAAAGCTGTGGTGGAAGACACATGAATCTGGAATTATTTATATTATTTATACTATTTATTTTGTAAAATATCTATCAAACTTTCCCTGTAATAATTTACTTTATATTTTCTTGTGCCAATAAGGCTGCTGTTTGTACTTGTTTTTAATAAGAAAGTCTTTTTATTATGGGAGCTGTTTCTTTACATCTACTATTTTAAACCCGCTTCCACCTGCCATTCCCCCCCCAAGTCTTGGTTTAATCCCAGATTCCAAAGAACCGTGAGGCCTTAGAATTAAAAGCATTATCAAGTCCCATTTAAACAAGGCTTTTGCTTTGTCACAAGGGCTTATATGCTCTCCCATTCCTGTCCTGCATAGTTTTCTCTCTGCAACTTCTGGTGAAATCATTTCAGCTGTGCACTGCTTTATTGCTTCCACCCACTCACCCATGCTCGCATATTTGTTAAACTCCCCATGACAGCTGGGGAAAAATGTCCAAATTACCAGTCAGAAAACTAATCCAATGGCTGCGAGCCAGTACTGCTTGTACAGTAAATATGAACTTGTACATGCTAAAAGTATTCTTGAAGGTAACACATTCTAGCTGGCCTTTGTCACTTTGGGGGTTTGCTGTGTTTTGGTGGTGGTACATTTCGAAAAACACTTCTGCTAATTTTGTAGTGGCCGAAAGGCAATCGGTCTGCTTTGCAGCAGTGAGACAAACCTACCATCGCGTGACACTCCCCGGGGACTTGGCTTACAAACTGCAATGCAACACTTGGAGCACAGCGGAGCAATTCACACTAACCTGCAACTTGCTGACTGTAGCATTGTCTTTGTCCTTCCAGAAGAAATAAACTAGAATATTTAGCTAGATAATCCTAGATTTAATTGTCCTGAGAATTGTTTTAATGGATTAGTAATTATAAAATGGGCCATCTTTCATACTCCCTCTTTCAATGATGAAAAATGGATGAAGGAATTCTTGAGAAATTACCGTTTGCAGGTTACTTTTAAGTTTAGCATTCAGTCTTAACTGCATTGGTAAACACGGTCATGGCTGCCAAGGGAAGAAGGAGAGGAAAAGCTTAAATTCAGTCAGTATGCCCCTCTGCTAACGTGTAGAGCTAATACAACTGTTTGTGGATTCCCAACCCAATTTCAACTGTTTGATATTAAATTCAGAAAAACACCAGTAGTTCTGGAATTTGTCTCAACATGAACTGACATAAGCAGGGAAATGCTTATTTTCCCCGCTCTGTGTATCTTTAGGTGTATTTTAACTTTAGCTGTAATCTAATAATATACGCTTATTAAATATACAGAAGCTGAAAAATATCTTACAGGTCCTTAAAATTTCTGAAGCGTCACTTAAAATCTCTGCTTATATAGTATTGCAAAATTAAACGTTTGTGCATTATAAGTCACTTCTATCAGTGATGGATTGTAGACATTAAATGAAATATGATCATTTGCTTTAGACCTTCACAGGCAGATGTATGCCTTTCTGAATTATGACTTAGCTTTTAAGCTGTGACTCTGCTTGATTCTAAGCTACATTATAAAGATAACTATTTACCTATATACATTTAAGAATTCATTTGAGCAGCGTAGAAATGTTTCAAGTAAAATGCTGTGCTTTGGTTTTGTTTTCTAGCGGTGGAATTAGATCCTAACTATATTAGAGCTTTGCTGAGGAGAGCAGAGCTATATGAAAAAACAGAAAAACTAGATGAAGCTCTGGAAGATTATAAGGCAGTCCTAGAAAAAGACCCATCAGTTCATCAAGCCAGAGAAGCTTGCATGGTAAGCCTTTTTAGTATACTTTGGCCTAACTTTAAACCAAGATCTTTTCTTTCCTGTTCTAAATATTCAATGCTGTTTATGCAGGCAGCTTCATATGCAGTGATGATAACATATTTTTTTTTAAGTCTGAAAGTGTAGTGGTTTTGTTACCTGGTTTTACGTAATAAAGATTACATGAACTGCCCCAACTTCTATGATGAGTCTTGGGTCCATAAAGCATAGTCCTCTTTGTACCTTTGTAAAATGAGTGAAAGTAAACGCATGTTCTGAACTGTAAGCATGTAATTATGTGTTTAGCTGTTGAATAGTGTGCACACAGACACACACTTTTTTCTAGTGTTCTGATTGATGCTGTTAATTGTATTTATATGTGCTAGAAAAGGTTGCCTGAACCACTGCTGCATTTAGTAGCTATCATTTTAGTAAGGATCTGCACTTTGGAGATCAGAATACAAGCACCCTACAATGCAGTTCTTGCTAGCTGTTTAATTAGTGGGAGTCTGGTTTTCTTTCAGTAGAATTATTTCTGATTGGTAAATTTGCAGTCAAATGCCTTTATGGCATAATTATAAAATAATTACTTTTTTTGATGACTTGATTATATATCTTTGAGAGTGGCAAAGAGACAGGATTCTATCATTCTGTATCTATGTTTGTAGCTACTTTAAAATGTTGATATTTTTGTTTCTTGATTTAGCTGTTTTCTGTTCTTGTTCTTTGCTGTGCCATGTGTGTTTATTGGCCACTTTGAGTTATTTTACTAATAGTGACTGACCTCTGCTATTAATCTTCAAAAACTTAGCCTTTCACTTGAAGAAAAGGGCACCTTGTGGTTGCAAACAGCACTCCTGATTCAGTTACTTTCTTTGTTCTAAAAAAAAAAATAATAATTCTGCAGCTTAGTACTGTGTTCCAATGTCCACTTTCAATCAAATTACAAATACTTCAGGATTAAACATTTCTTGCAGAATCTTTGCCATATCTCTGTAAGTGTAAGGAAATGCTTGAAAAGTTGCCTTGGCCTTTAGGATGTGTCAGCTTGGATGAAAAAAAGGTAAACCCCTAGCACTTCCTGAAACCTCAATCTAACATGTAAATAATCCCTACTCCATGGGGATTTAAAGTCCCTGCCACAGCCTTTTGACTTGAGGTTTTAAGTAACTCTTTGTGTAAAATAGCAGCAGGAAGTGATTTTTCTAGTGATATTTAGTATGTTAATGTTCAGTGTGGAGAATAGCTGTGGATTTGACAAGTTCAGAGAGTCTTTTCACAAGGGTAGTAAAAAGGGAAATCTGTTTTGTGCAGAAAGTTCCTCTTACAGGATGCTTGCTGTGCTTATTCTTGAAAAGAGGTTCTGAAGGCTGTGTTGAAAGGACAAATGTGGTAGAGATGTGGCCAGACAGCCTATGGTTTCGAAGGAACATGTGCTAATGAAAGGTAGCCACTATAAAAAATGGTGGTCACTTTTTATCAGAGTGGGAGCTTGAGGTCATGGTAGGTGAATGGTTTGCAAGCATCAGAGAGCCTGGAAAGAGCTGACCATCCTCTGCAGGGAAAACAACAGCCGAACTATTCTTTACTTCCATTTTAAGGTAAATGGATGCAATTTTAAAATGTAATTCTTAGTTGGGCACCAAATCCATATGCCAATACTTGACTTGATTTATATCTGGTTAAATTTTCAAAGGGCATAATTATTTTAGTTCAGCTTCACATCAGTGAACCTATAATGTATTCTGCCCCATAAAGAAAAAAAAATCATTTGCTTCACCCACCAAATTATCTCTAAAACCAATTGGAATATGTCAAAGCAGAAATATTTTTGAAAGGCGTAGGTTTAACTGTTTTAACTCTCCATTTGGGAAAATAAATCATTAGAAGTGATCTCCCCCTGCCCTGCCCCCATACTATGGTGTTGTAAGTGACAGATTAGGAACTGCTTTTATAGCATATTAGACAAGAAGCCTTGCCTGAAATTACTTCCTTTGGGACAGGATCAGTTGCACTGATGGCAGAAAAATATTCTGCTTAGCCGTGTAACTCCTGTAAGGGTATAGTTTCACAAAACAGCTAAACTGATCTACTAACTGCCTTCTGCTTACAAAGCTATCCAGTTGTTTTCCTTGTGCTAGTGCTGGTACTAGCTCGTGTCCGACCCTAGGGGATGGCTGGTTCTATATGTGAATCTGGCAGACAACTAACTCTGCTAAAGGGAAAAATGGCAACGAGCGAGCAAAAAAAGCCACCAACAAGAAAGCCCCAAAGTAAACACTTTTATATTGCCTTGGCTTTTTGCAGTCAGACAAGTTCTACTGCAATGCTAGTGAGAAAGAAAGAAGACGTGGTCAAGGCAGTGCAGGAATTGGGGCCATCCCTTTTGGCAGCACCCACTGAGAAGGTCAGTTTACCGTATTGCGAAACAACCCCCTGATGCTTGTGGCATGCATCTGGTTGAGAGCAGGAGAGCACTTTATCACCTAGCTCTTGGCAATGGCTTAATAAATGACAAGCTTGTCAAACATCATTACTGCATGGGCAGTGAATATGATGGGTCCATCGCAGTCTAGAAAAGAGTATTTGTGTTGGCTTTGTTTATAGCCTCCTAGCTGAGACTATGGCTTATTTGATCCAGAAATTCAGCCAAGGAGCCTGCTGACATGTCTAAAGGAAACGATGGGGTTTAGTGTCTGTAGCTTGTAGGTTTTTAGCATTAGACTAGCTCCAGAGTGAGGCTTGCTGTAATCTAGCCAGTTACTTGGTAAAATAGTATTAGTGTATCAGGAGTGCATTTTAGCAAAGAACTACTGTGAAGATTGGGGAGATGATGAACCACCAGTTAGGACTCCACAGATTAAGACTTAGGAACACGGTCAGTAGATGGTACAAAATGTAAGGATTTTAAAATACATATATTTCGGCTGATTGGAACCCCCTGAAAGTATAGATACTGTCCTTTATACCTCTTGCAAAACCACAGTTTTCTTTCAGTGAGGATGCCTCTAAAGGTCTCACAAAAGAGCTCTTGCTCAGTAACCAGTGGAGATTTAGGCTAGAAGAGAATCAGAAACAGTGCTGCTGTTCTTCCTGGCCATCCTTCAGGAATGTTTTAGAATGATCAGCAATTTATTCTTAATTTTTGTAGCTAGGAAGTACAGAGGTTGACTGTTTCACATACCTTCTGCTCCTTGACCCCATTTTACTATGGCACAGGCTTTAGGCTCACATGTGGTGCAGAACACTTTGTACAAAATGCCCTCAGTTTACACTGCAGTGAGATTTAGGACATTCTGCCCTGAGTTGGTCTTGTTCTTTGTCAAGTTTCAGGGTAGAAGCAATCTTTTGAGACTGAAGCTTAAAACTCCCCTCTTGAAAAATTGTTAAGGAAATACTGACAGCTAGTTTTACACTTCTTAAAATATTCATAATAAATCTCTGAATTTCATAATGAAAACCCAATTCCATCTGTAATGTTGACTTCAGATACGTGGTTAACATATTAGATATGTAGGAGACTAAGAAGCTTTGCTTTATTGTAAGGTAAAGTGCATTGCTCTTCGCAGAAATATCAGTGTTTTTTCCCCCTCACTGGTAATGACAATGATGTATCAAGAGAATCTGCAAATTAGCTTCATTCACTGTTAGAGCAAATTTCTCCTTCCTGTACATAGAAAATATTTCACATGCTGCTTTAGGGAACGTCATGATCTTGTTAAATGGCAGTTTAAAAATATTAAATAGACGGTAGTTCTTTGCTTTGATTCCTGATTTGGTAGCTGCTCTAACTTGTTAGTAATGTTTGTATTTCATGAGTATAGTGCTGGTGTTTTGATTTAAATCCTAGTGTTGCACACTTTAGGTACTTTTGACATCTTCAATGACAAGTGAAACAGTTTGAAATTATAATGTTTTGTGGTCAAATAATCCCTATCGATGCTTTCCCAGAAAGTGTTTAATTATACGGTATCAATCTTTAGGTTTTGTTTTTAGCAGGTGCGTAACAGTGTTATGTGAATTTTAGCTTCAACACAGTTTTTGAGGGATTGGAGAGCCAGATAAACTAATTTACCAAAAGAAGCTGTACTTTGAGTTAAGTATCATAGCCACCAGATAACGGACACCTTTCTACAGATAACTAACCTTGCAGATACGTTTCTGGAGGGAGAAATGCTGAGTCTTTGGAATAGTAGTATTTAGACAGACAAAACATAGAGTATGTATTTCAAATGGATTTGTGTCTTCGTTTCCTGCTAAAGCCTAATGTCCAAATGTGAGAGACACGCACTATATATGCCAAACTCATCCAAGATTCAGCAAATCTCCCAGTCACAGTGCAAACTGAATTTAGAGCCTGGGGATATCCGCACATGTTTTCATGCAGGCAGCTTAGGTCCAGATCTGCACCCAACTTAATAAGCCCCTCTGGGTCACCAGGAGTCAGATGAGGTCTGACTGGGCTAATTAGATCTGGCTCACTGGTGGTGATGCTGGGCCTGGGCTGGTTTCAAGCTTAGCCATCAAAATATATCTGCATTGTATTCCTTAGTACTTGTTTTTCTGGGTTTTTTGGGGGTATACCACCTCTCTTCCCCACCGTTATAGAAAATGAAGCATATTTGCCTGTGTTCAGCAGTGTATCCTGCACTGAAGAGGACAGGAATAGTCAGGCAGCCTTGTCGATGGGCTTTTTCTTGGGGTGAACATCTTATTTCACTGTAGCAATGATACCAGGATGACAAACCTATCCGTGATGACTGGAACTGTAAGTGATAGGAAAGAACAAGATTAGGACCTGAATTCGTTAACTGTGTTGAGAAGGCAATTACCACAGGGAAGTGTATCAGGAGTGAATTCCACACCTGTTACCATAGTCTGCAACTGTAATCAATTTACTGATAGCATCATTACAGCAGATCTGTCTTATTTGCTATGACCTCCACAAGAAGAGACAGCATAGTTAGGCATATAATTGCACACAGAACTGTTAGAATTATACAGTAGTAATAAGCATAAGCATAGTATAAAAGCTTGAAATAGTACTTCTGAAAAATTTGAAAAATGTATAAAAAGTTACTGTCATTCATAATATATCTTGTTTTAATATTGTACTTAACAGATATATAGAAAATGCAAAATTTAAACGATACAGTGGTAAATTGTATTCAGTACAACTATGTAGTGAATATAAAATTCTAATTAAAAATTATTGTTGCAATCATATAGCAAAACACCAGTACTGTGTAAGGATGGAAGAGGAGTCACAGCTGCTCTAGGCACAAATGGGAATCTCAAATCATTAGGAATACATAACCCATGTAGTTACATAATGATCATTAGAAACGTGATGTTCGTTTGTGATGGTGCAACAGTTTTTAACACTGGTGCCAGTTCTGAGGAGGGAGAGAGCACATTAATGAACTGTTACTTGGACTAGTACCTTGCTCAGGATGAACTGTTGGAGTTTCCTCCCCATGATCAATTGCCAAATCAAGGCCCTCCCTGTGTTCCTTAGAACTATGCCCTATATTGCATAGTAAGATGCTGCACGTTAAACTATGTCCTGAAGTTCATGAACAGTTAATGAAGTAATCTTCTGAAAAAATATTTGTATTCAGAAGACATTAGTGTTTTCACGGTGCCGATTTCCTGTAAGTATGATACTACTGAGAACTGACTTTATGGATGTTTTCCTCATTACACCTGTGCTTATGTTCAGAATTCAAGTGCTCTGCTTGCTTAGTTCCTCTAGCCTCTCTTACCGAATTTAATGCATGCAGCAGAGGAGAAAGGGCTAAAATACACTTTCATTCCAAGTCTCTTAAATTCCGTAAGCTTTTCTGTTAAAATCCCAAGCAAACAGATCAGATCTGTTTTTCAGCAGTAAAAATGTATGCCTGTGTGAAACCTGCACTTACAAGTTACAACTCACTGCTTATGTGAACTGATGTCATCGGATGAATTACAGGTTTCCAAAATAAGATGAAAGTGTGGATTGACATAGGGATTCCTTGTAAGCCATAAACAGTGTATCCTGCTTATATGTATGAAAATTCCATAAGCGTAACCAGTTTTTATCTCTCTCCACAGCGATTACCTAGACAAATTGAAGAGCGGAATGAAAAATTAAAGAAAGAAATGTTAGGTAAGTAGCATGCACTTATAACTTGCATAATAATCTAGAAAAATAAAAATGCATGAGTAGAATCTCTTGTATAAAATTTAAAGAAGGTAAATCTTAAAGGAAATAATTGTTCTGTGTTAAACAAAACTCCTGATTTCTTTGTCGTTCTCTATTGCTTGGTTTCACCTACAGTAAGTTCTAGCCAAATAATTCTATACAGAAAAGGCTATTAGTTAAATTTAAAGAAATAAACGCTCAAGATGTAAACCAATTTAATATTAATGCATGTAAAAGCAGGGGAAAATGATTTGAAATAGACCAACTGCTCTGCCCTTTCTCTCTGCAAGTAAGCCTTCAAAGGAAACATTCCCATGAAAGGGATAAAACAGGGTTTTCCCTAAACCTTCACATAAAAGAAGTCAACCAGCTGTAGCTGAGCATGTTTGATCTTGTGTCTGAAGAAATGAATTTGGTTCATTTTGTAGCACTGCCAACCTATAGACCTCCAAGTCTTCATGTTCACCTTGATTTATATACTATTTCAGTTCTGTTTGTGTGGGGGCTGAATTAGACCCTACCTAGTGTTACAAACAGGCACTTGGCCTCGCTAGGTGTGGAATTAGTTTTCCTACTGCATAGCTCATTGTCTCTTGACTTTTTACAGTTCTATACCGAAGGATACTATTGACCCTATTTGTTTGTAGAAAAGAGATTTTGATTAATGTTACTCATCTGAATGTATTTGCTGCCATCATCATGTTGTATGGTATTGCTTGGATGATTGCTGAGCTTGATTGCTTAGGACGAGAGCTAACGGGCACAAGCTTGAACATACGAAGTTCCATCTTAACATGAGAAGGAACTTCTTTACTTTGAGGGTGGTGGAGCACTGGAACAGGCTGCCCAGAGAGGTTGTGGAGTCTCCCACTCCGGAGACATTCAAAACCCGTCTGGACGCCGTCCTGTGCAACTGCTGTAGGTGACCCTGCTCTGGTGTGTGTGGGGGGGGTGTTGGACTAGATGATCTCCAGAGGTCCCTTCCAACCCTGACCATTCTGTGATTCTGTGATATCTTAACTGGATTGATGTATTTCAAAAGGATAACTACTTAAATAAGATTGCCCAAGCAAGATTGGTTTTCATGTGTCATCTTAAGTAGAAAGCACTACCTTGCACCACTCACAGTGTTATGGTTAAACTAACAGTTTGGGGGGGGAACCTCCTGCCCAAAAAAATACTGCTGTCAATATTGGCTGCTGTCTCCTAGTTAACAGGGCTTGTTAATTCTTACAGGTTCAGGCACTACATATGCCAGTCTGACATTCCGGTGCTTTATAAAATATAAAAACTCATTTTAAAAGCTTTCCATTTGTCCTGTTTAGAAAATCCCCACCAAAACCAAGGACAAATGACAGTATAAGATAAAGAGAAACTAACTGTACCTAACGTGTTTCAGAAATAGCTTTCAGTAGTTATTTGTTTACTCATTCTAGGTGTCACAAGTAGTAGATGAAATGTTATTTTAACATGAGTATGCTTTGAGGATTTGGGATGGGAAAGGGAAAGACAGTGTTGTGTTATTCTGCAGAAAATCAGGTTAAATAAACTTAGTCTCTCTCCCATACTGTAACACTAATTCTTAAAATATTTGGGAAGAAGAGACGGTTTCAAGGGTTTATGCTGAAGCTGATACTTTCTTTATTTTTCTTTTCTTGCTGTGCAGGGAGTCTGATTAGCTCTTGCTTTGTACCTGTTTTGACCTAGTAAAGTTGCAGTGTGGTTTTCTTACAGCTTTACGTCATCAGATTCTGTTTGCACCATTGTACTTAGAATAAGCCATAAATAAAGAAGGTTAAGTGCGATAGTTCTATCAATAAATGACAAATGCAGAAAATCTTCAGAAGGATCATGCCCATTTATAGGGCACGGGATGGGTTTCAACACAAAGTAATATGAAAACAATTCCTGATCTTTTTTGAACTCTCCCTTTGCACTATTGTTACCAATGTCTAAGAGGCCTCACTAATCACAAGGAACTATACTGAAACAATAAATCCAGCTTTATAAACTGCCATTATAAACCTAGTTCCATACTGCTCATTTTTGCCTAGAGTTCAGACTAGATGTGATCTTATTGAAAAGTGTTAATCCAGTGGCAGTTATTTTTTCAGAACTTAACTGATCTTTTGTGAAGCGGTTCAGGCTGTTTATATTGGGATTCTCGAGAAAGGAATCCCTTCTCAATGATGTTACGTACATGCAAGGAGATACACTGCTGTTTACTTTTGTAAACAGCCAGGAAAACCAGACTAAGAGTGGGGTAGTACAGCGTATAAGCCTATATTCATCCACAACCTTTGTGTGTGGCAGGACTTATATAAATTGTCATATAGGTTGTTAAAATTATATGGTGTCAGTTGGGCAGGTGGTATTTTATTCTTAGCACTGCTTGTGATCACAGTGTAACACAAATTGAGGATTTCTTCTATAATGCATTCTTTTAATAGGACACTTGAAATTAAGTTAGGAATATGGACAGCAACCAGATTTTTAAGTGTTATAAAATTCCTTCTGTCTTGTCAGTAAGAGCGATAGCAGTGATGCCATGGATCTAACGATGAAGGCCTGGGAAGGAAACACTTCCCAAGGGTTACAAAATGCTGCTGTTCTGTCTGAGGTCAAGGAAAAACCCTTGGAATTGAAGAAGAGGGATTAGGTGGGAGTTCTGGAAGGAGTGAAAGAAGACAGACGATATAGAGTGGTGGTCAAGAGATTTCTTTGGATTGTTGTTGTTGTACAGTGTATTTGTTCTAAGCTGTTTCAACTTTTCTTTTTCAAGAACTTTGTTAACGCTATTTACTGAGTACTGTGTCAGAATAGACAATTGCTTGTGCTAATCTGATAGGAGATTATCTGACTACTGGTTAAACAGTGCCAGGTGTGCAAGGATTCATTCCCCCACCTTGTCACAGGGAGGTCAGCTCAGGTTTCTGGGTTGTATCCCAGATTTTTTCATTCCAGGAGAGCAAGTCAGATGCATCCTAATAGTTCCAGGCTAGGCCTGGTCCAGGAGCACTGACGCTAAACTTACCAACAAAATCTTTAGAAAGACTGTCACACTTCATGCTTTGGCTCCTTTGAAGTTTGGATATTGAATTGAGATCTTATTGTAGTCAATGAATCAGCCAGTAATGTTGTTTTTCTAGGCTTTTATTCTTTCAACTAAAACCAAGTCCTGGTATACCCAACTAACTAAGACTGTCCTGAAAACTGGAGCTGTGTACAAACAAACAAACCAAAACAAATGGAGTGCATCTTCCTCCTTCCCCAAGTGTGTTTCCTGTTTTCCAGTGCTACAGCTCATTACCACATAGTTTGTCAGAAGCTGAAACCACTTCTTAAGTGGTTGTGTGTAAATAAATAGGAGTACACATTCTTGGCTGGATTTTTCTTCCAGACTACCTAACTGTGAATTCCTGTGTGCAAGTGGTAGTGCATGTGATTGATGAAGTTGATGTCACTAGAAGAAACATGTTTTGTTGCCAAACCAAGTTCTGCTGTGTGTTCTGCTAGGGTCTAACTTTTCCAAAGTTGATATTTGTATTCAAATTATTTTCATATTTTCCATTCAGCCCGTGCAGGTTAGTGCCGCCACTTGCCACTGAACTTTGCTCAGTACCAACTAACCTCTGAGTTTCACATGAATGAAAGCTTAACTTACAGCACACTCTGAAAGTAGCTTTTAAATCCATCTGGCGCGCTCCTTTTACGCTTTCATAACATGAGCATTCTCTGCCTTAGTAATTACCCAGGACATGGACATATACTGACCATTTTCTGTGTTCTTTTTCATTTCTCTCCTGACTTTAAAGTCAAAGATTTCCAGCTATTGTGCAACAAGCTAGTCTTGTTTAGAGGAACTAATTATTGTGATAACTAGGACCAGCTCCTCTGGGGAGAGGGTGTGAGAAGAGGGGAAGCTTGGAATAGTTTTAGCAAGGTTTAGCAGCTTGAGGGCTGTGACAATAGAGTGTTCCACATGGCGACAGGGGAGGCAAGTATATTGGATACAAAAAATAAAAAAAAAAGGGATGGAACATATGCCAATCTGTGTAACCCATCTTATACGCACAGAGTTCATCAAATCTAATTAAAAACTATTGGGACTTTCAGCTTAAGTTATAAATGAGTGCATTGCAGAAAATAGTGAAATATACTTGATTATCAGCAAAGGTTTAGTGCCTAAAGAATTACGTTTCTTTTTTATACTGAAGGTTATGCTGTATTTGCAACTAAGCTGCTAAAACCCAGTTCTGTATAGAGGGAGGTCACTTTAAATAGTTCAAACCAGAGCAAATATAGTTACTTTTAGTTCAGCCCTCACTTGCTGTTTAGGGGAAGGGAAAAGGATTAGCCCTCGCTCTTTTAATTGCTTAAGAAATATTGCCGGTAATACTGAAAGTTATACAAAGATGAGAGCTCATCAGGAAATTTGTCTTTCATCCAAAAAAAATTCTTAATATAAACAACATCTAGCTTTTCAACTTCCAAACCTCGCGTTAACACCAGCAATTATACTAGAAGAATTGCCAGAAAGACTGAACGGCAATTAATTTTGGCTGTTGCATCTTAATGTAAATCGTGAGAAATCTTTTTGTGCATCTGCCTTTTGCGACAGGATGTTACATTGCCGTTTAGGTGAGTAATGAATCACAGACTTCTGAGCCTTAAATTGATTTTTAGCAGTTAGTTTTCTTGTTAACCTCTGGATATTGCTTTGCTGAAGAAACTTAACGTACTGGAGTTCCAGCTGAAAAGTAGACGTAGGCTCTCTAAAATATAAAGAATAAAATCTATGAAAATATGGTCTCAGAGAGGAGAATGTGACCCTGCTCCGGGACAAGTGAGTGTTTGACTGCTGAGAACTCTTTGCAGCTGAGTCACAGCTCCACATGCCTTTTTCCTTCCTTCAAGCACAGTCCCTGTTTTAAGAGAGCTTTTCTTTGGGGGGAGGGGGAAGTTGGACTTAACTACGGATCTTAATTTAGGGATGAAAGGAGAGTGGGGGAGGAGAAAATAGTGCTTTCCTACAATGATGGGTTTATGTGCGCCAAGACAGCAGGAGCAGTGCTTTGGGCTCGAGTTCCCGGAAAAGGCAAGGCTTTCTTCTGCTTCATTAACAATTTATTAAATGTGGCTGCACCAAAAGGCATCGCTGTATGTGGATTTAAGTGATGGAACAGGAAGGTGACCGATGACTGTATTGTTTTAATTTTCAATCACAGTGAGATGAAGAATAAAGTATTAAATATACCATACAATCTTTAGCTTCTCCCAAAGAGCTGGCCCAGCTCTGGCAAGAATACCGAGGCAGTTGTTCTGTGTTTATTGGCTCCACTATGACCGGAAAAGAGCCATCGTGCTAACTCCAATTAGAAAAGACCTTTCACAGTTTGCTGAAACGGGCAAACTCGTCTGCCTGCTCCTGAGCCAGCTGCAGTCCCTGCATAACTTGTGAACTGTCTACCACTGACTCCAGCTATGCCAGGATTCTTCCACCAGTAGACAAAGACACTTCTCACCCCAAACCTGAAGCTAAACAATGACCAAATGTTTGTCTAGAAGTACTATAGCAACTGTTCATCCCGGTCCTAGAGATGCTGTGAACAACTTTATAGTTTTATAATCAAAATGCTTTTAGGATGCAGTATAAAATTATGAACTCAAGAGTTAACTTAGCTTAAACAGGGTGTGCTTAAAATAAAACTCCACCACCAGTACAAAGAAGCTAATCCTAGCTGAGCCACTCACTGGAATGACTTTGGCCAGATCACTCAACCACCTCAGCTGTTAATCCAAACAGAAGAAAAATCAAATTGAACAAAAATGCTGTCTTGCCGACCGGCTGCTTTTGTAGGCTACGATTGTGGGGTTTTCCTGTGTGAGGCCACGGAATTTCTATGTTGACTCTTAAAGACTAATCCTGTTTTAAAATAATTACATAAACGTCTGAAAGATACCCAGTTGTGAACCAGCACTTTGACACAAGATCTTAATTACTTTGGCATATTTAGGAGTACTGTAGTAATGCCAACTGTTGGTTTCTTTATGCAGGACTGAGTTGTTCCTTAGATTAAAATGTTTACATTTTTTCCCAGCTATTGTTGCTTTTTGTATTTTCTGTGAATGTGTGCAAAAAAGATTCCCCACCCCCCCAGTTTAATTTTGGAAATGCGATTGAAAAAATAGTATATTTTGGTTTATGGTGATGATGTTTAAGCTGTCTTGACCTGTTGCCGGATTGTAAGAGATAAGGGGCATACTTCCATGGGACAACTTCAGACTTGGATACAATTTCTGTTTTGAAAACAGGATTTTCAAACAAACAACAGAACTTCAGAAAAGCAAAGAAAGGAAATAAGTGTTTATATGACTTTGCAGGTAGATTCTAATATGTTAGCGTAGAGATAAATGTGAAGATGACTAGAATAAGAGAGATGTTTCTCATGACTTAAGATGGCTTGCCGAAAGCACACACATGCAAGTAGGAACAGGTGTGGCATTTGCATGTTTTAGTTACATGATTGTGACTACTTCAGTTGCTCAGCTGGATTTCCTGGGTGCCAGCTATTGTTGTTGTCACTTTTTCCCCACCGCATGCACCTACAAAGTCCCAGCAAAACAAAATCCACTGCCTTGAGGATCTAGTAAAGGTAAAAGGCTTTGTGAAAGGTGGTGCGTAGCCTAGGGTAGGCTTCAACTGCAAACCTAGGGTAGGCTTCAACTTGTCCAAACTTCTCCTGTTTGTTCTTTGGGAAATTAGTCTACAATTCTGTATTGAAGTCAGGAGGAAAATACTGTTTTTCTTGGAAAACTGACCATCTTCCTCCTTTGGCTTGTCATGCCAGCAGCTCAGCTTGTGTTTAGCCAACACTGGAGTTGTTACCTCTGTATCTTGTTAGATTTATGCATTTTATCTATTCTATCATCTCTATATAAATATGATTTTTTAAAAAGGATGTCCTTTTGTTGCCCATGCCCCTCTATAGGTAGTAGCAAGATTCATTTTCTAGAGTCAGAAAGCATGTATGGTACATATATATTGATAGAAGCCTTTAGATTTTATTAACTGTCATACCCTATGTATATTTAACAATGCTTGTTAAATAATAGCTGCTTAGACCTCTTAGCAGTGGAAAGTTAGTCCTGGACAACTGTAGTTTTGAAAGTGAGTTAATGATGTCAAATCAGATGACATCACGCTGAGGTTTTCTGCAGGCAAAATGGCTGTAAAGTTGTATGCTTCAGCTGGAACTGCTGAGTTTGCAGGTGCAAACACAGTTCCGAGGATGAATTTGTTGTATTTTTCTTTAATCGATATACAGATTTTAAAAGGGATTTTTAATAATTACAAATGAGCAGTTTGAACTTTGGGTTTCATTGTGTCTTTTGGTAGTGTAGGAAACTGGACAGTTATGATATTCTTGATTGTTTATAGAGCTGTAGCTGCATCTAAAATGACCATAACTGAAAACTTTGTGTTAGAAAATTGAATGTTGGCAGCTATTAAGAGTTATATCCAAGCATAAGTATCAGGGAGACCAGCGCTTTGTTGTGAGCTGTTGAACTCTTGTGCCTGAAGAGCTTCTAACGGAGGAAATAAGGTGCTTCTGGATAGCTCTAACCCCATAGCCACGACTGTCGGCAGCTACTGGCCCTTCACCAGGCTGCCTGACAAACTGTTCAGAACCAGCCCAGTGATCTGTTTGCAAACCCAAAGCTGACAGTAACTACATCAAAACTGGGATTTTCTTTTTTAATTAATGTAATAGCCTAAATATTCAACAAACTGCAGAGATTTCCACAGGATTTACCTTAAATTAGTAGATAAATTTGTAGAGCTGCACTCTGTAGTTGGGCATAATTCAATGGGAGTTTTCCCTCTCCTTAACACTTAATGTGTTCTCTCTCCTTTCATTATAGGCAAACTGAAGGATCTTGGGAATTTGGTTCTCCGCCCCTTTGGCCTGTCAACAGAGAATTTTCAGATAAAACAGGATTCATCAACTGGTTCATACTCCATCAATTTTGTTCAAAATCCAAACAACAATAGATAACATGCATTCAGTCTAGTCCTGCTGGCTTTCAGGCTTCGTGACCGTCTGCTTGCACCCACCAATAAAAGGATTCAGCAAACATTCTTCACGCTCCCCAAGTGAAGATAAGACTCAAGCATATTCATTTCCCTGCTTGTGAAATTATTTACAATGTGGATGTAAAGCAAGTCATTTGACTTCTCTTAGTGATAACTGTGTCTAGTGTGTGATTTTTAATTTTTTTAAATTTTTTTTTCTTCCCTTGCGATGTTTGCCTTGTCCAACAGTCAGGTTCATTATTTTGGCCCATTCAATGTTGGCAACAAAATTCTAGCAAGCAATTCAGTTGAATCAAAATGCCTACACACCTGTAGCCAAGAACAAAGCCTAATGGTGTCTTGGGGAATTAATGAATCTAGCAGAAGCACTTCTCCACACTCAGCAGGTGGATGTGACTGACAGCATGCGCGGAAGCAGGCCAGGCTCTTCTGTGGAATAATTTTTCTTTGTAATAAAGGCTTAGTATTTCTGTTGGTTTGGTTTGTGAAGTTCTTTCCTTATTTGAGTCCTTCCCATGGTGGTGGTATTATTGTGCTTGTAGTCACCCACAGGTAACATACTTGCAAGACATTCATTTGAAGCATTTGATTATTTTTTTTTTGTCTTGCTTATAGCAATATCAGCAAATTAACCTCAGGCCACCCTTACAAGACAGTTTGTTTACTTTTTATTAATTTTTCTGAAGGCAACAAGGAAATTTAGTGCCTCTATATATATACACACTTTGTAAAGGTACCATAAAATTAGTTAAATTTGCTTGTCTGATTCATTCATATTATAGATATCCATAATGGCAAACAAGTAAGTGATGTTAAAGTTGCAAAAGATTTTCATAGTATACCAGACCTGGAGGACTTGGAAGTGTGAATATATGGAGATATGTGCTGTTGAAGTAGTTCATTCAGATTTTGGAGAAGGGGTGTCTTTTGTAATTACTACTTACTGGGTTTTATATCAATGCTGAAATGTTTACATTGGAGGCAGATTTTTCAGTTGTCTCCATGGAGATTTCAATACATTATTTAATTAAATAATCAGTGGTGGCTGTCTGTTGGCTATTGGTTGTCACATTTCTTTCAGGAGGTCTCTTTGTGTGTACTTAAGGACTGAAATTACAGAGCTCCAGTCTTTACACTAATATGCCTGAAAGCAGTCTCTGAAGACTATGCGTTCTTGGTGCTTTATTTTCATTTTTGTCTCCGCAGCTGTGGAGGGGTTTTTGATTGTTGTTTAACTCTGTCCTGCTGCATTTTTGGTTTTGATTTTGTGGTCACCTGTTTGTTTGTAAACTATCTCATGTCTGCAGTGAGTGTGTGTATTAAGTCTATGGGAATTAAAATGTCATTGTCAAAAGAAGAGAGAAGCCCTAATTCACAGTAAGACCTGTACAGGCATTATCATCTTCTGTATAATTAAAATGTCACTTAAGTAAGTAACAGCAAACAGCCTCTAGGATTTCCGTGTGCTGAGACTGTAACTATGCCATGCTTTACTGGAGTAAAGTTTCTAACGTGCAAGGCTGAATTTCCTTTCCTAGTAACGTTTGGGCAAACAGGTAGGTGTGGAGATGGGAGGTTTTAAAGAAAGATTTTGCTCCTCAGAGCAGCCACAGCAGTGCCAGAGAGGGGTTTGCCAGCCAGAGGCTGCTGCGTGTGAGAGACTCCAGTATCCAGGCGGAGGGCTGAGCGTACCTGAGCAATGTGCTGGAGAAGTGTGCTCACGCCCCAGAGGCTCCGCAGCTCCAGATGAGCTCATTAGCTGTAAAACCGCTCTGCTTCTGAACTGAGCTCTTCAGATTCAGGGAAAGCTTACTGGGTGCTTACTGGGTTGGGTAGTGTTGAGATGAGTATAAATGTTCATAATCTTTCCAGAAAGCTGGAATACTACAGAGCAAAAGCGTCCAAGCTGCTTCCGAGGAGCCCTGGGCAGAGGCAGTGCTGGGCTGAAGCTCCTAAGTTCGGCTCGTGCCCAGACTGAGGCACTCGGCTACGTCTGCCTCCCGCTTCCCCAGAGCTCCTACTTCGGCATGGGGCGGGTGGAGGTGTCAATTCTTGCTCTTGCAGGCTCCGTGCTGCCGGAAAGTGGGAAATGTGGCTGGCCCTGGAAGCAGCACTGTCTGTCTGCACCTGGAGCCAGGCAGCCCGCTGCCTGCATTGCAGTAGCTCACTCTCCCCAGGGGCTGAAGGGTGGGAAAGGAGCTCGGTGAGGCTTTTGCCTCATTTACCAACATTAGCACAAGTCCTGCGTCACCGCACGTGAAGCGGATTAGGTCAGTGCCCTGGGTTTCACTCCACTGCAACATACACACACCCTCAGAACATACATAAATGGAACCACTTTGAAGCTACTATAGATACTCTAAGTTTTTATATATCTTTGTTATTACCAATTAATTGCTATCTTTACACACACTGTGTATTTATATCTATTATTTACCAGTGTGTGGCTGTTGTGCAGTTACAGGCAGTGGCTTTTAGCAACCTGCTACTTGTCTTACAAATGTGTTTCCATTCTTCCTTCCATTCTGTTCCTGCTTCACATCTTTAAAGGGCCGGAGGGCTGCAAATATGCCTTCTTGGGTGGAGGCTGGTTAACTTATTCTGAAAAATAAAAGCACAACAAAACTTTTGAAATTACTACCTGCGGTGCAAACACAACATCAAGTAAGTGTGCAGCTTCCCTGCTGGATGCCTGATGTGTATCTATAGTTTTAAAATGAAGGGAAGAAAAATGAAGCTGAAGGATTGAAGGTTGTTTGCTTTCCACGCTTTTGTTTGTAATTTAATTGCATTGTGTGAAAGGGGCGGGTTAGTGTCACTGGAAATTGGGCAGAGCATTACTGAGGACTCTGTAAGTCATAGCTACTCGAAGTGCTGTTCTCCAGCTATACCAGAAACCTCTAAAATATGTTATCTGCCACTGCAATAAGTTCTCTAGGTAAGATGCCAATCAATTGCCTGAAGTTCAAATCCTGAAGAATTGCATTTATTTTGCTTTTTATTTTTAAGGGATTTTTTTTAATGTCTAAACTGGTCATCACAGCTGCCACCAGAAAGGTAATTGGTACGTCGTCCTGGTGTAATTAGCCATAATTCCACAGCAGTGCCAGGGGGTTTTGAGTCACACATGTTGGGCTTAAAACATTTTTTTTCCTATTGGAGGTTGTATGAAACCTAATCTTTTAAATATAAGTGCTCTTAAACCAAGAAGTTCCTTACTAATTTGTTCCAATAGTTACTCACCCTTATTGCAGCAAGCACGTGCCTTTTTTCCACTTTGAGTTGTCTCTCCTCAGCTCCCAGCCTTTGTTCCTCCTTACTCTCCTGCAAAACAAAAACCCTTTTAGTACCTGGCCTTTTCGCCCTGAAGGTGTTTGCACAGTAACAAAGGGACCTGTTGGTCTTCTCCATCAGCTGAAGAGACAGCAGCTGCCTGAGGTGTCTCCCTACAAAGAACTTTCTCCAGGATTTCCATGTTTGTGTCTCAGACCTTCCTTTCTTTGGCATCAGAACTGACACTGAGACTTGTCTCTCTTCTGCTTTATACCCAAGGCAGGATATTCGCACTCATTCTTCCCTGTTTACACCCTCAGGGACTGTCTTAACTCTTTTGGCAACAGATGAGCTAAGTTTTAGACCTCCCCCTTTCCTGCAGCTGTGGGTGACGTTTTCTTCCCTGTGTTAATGCAGCTAAACACGAACTTAAGTCACGCTTTGTTTGGCAGGCCTGGCGTACTGAGCGATAGCGTTGTTCTGGTGTTTTCCCACCAGGCTGTTGCTTACCAGTATTTTCAGGAGGGACCTTAGATTTCTCAGTCACTGAGGAGAGGAAAGCGTCAAGTGTTACAAGGTCCAGCAGCGATTTGAACAGAATCTCACAGGAGACATCCCTGTTTGAAGGACAGTGGCAAACTGTTCAAGACCTGTCAGGGAGAGAATCTTACTCCACGTGGGCATCGTTTATTTTATATTGTAGATACTTATCTGTAAATATCACGTATACTGTAGAGGGCCGTGCCACGCAACACGTCTTTATAATTAGACTCGCTAAGCCTGGTTGAATGATGAGGTCTATTTTTGATGGATTTTAATTGCATGTTTGCCTTTAATTCTTTATTAACGGATTTCTGATCCTGTTTTCAAGATTCCTATCCCTGACGTCAGATTCACCAGCCTATATTCACCGGGATCTTCATCTTTGCCCTCCGTTGCTCGACCGACCTGTGTCTGTATCCAGCACCCATTAAAGGCAAAGTGGGTGCGCCAGTTGGCCGGTTTAGGTGAAATATCTGGGCTTATTTTCAGTCCCATTACTGTTCTGCCTGGGCGCTAATGGGATGGCAAATACATCATCCCACTGGCTTTAAATTGAGAAATATCCAACATCAGTACTTTTATGGCCAACAAAAGGGCGCCACCGCATTTTGAGTACTGTTTTTGTTCCCAATAGATTAGAATTTCTCTTGTATCCTCCTTATCTTTGTTAGTCATGCCTTTTTTTAGCTTTCCTTATCAAGATTCTCAAGTATTCTCTTACGTCAAGTTTATCACAACTACCTATTTTGTCTTCCCACATGCAATGTTTTTATTTTTTAATTGCTGCCTTCATATCACTGTTGAACCTCCTGGCTATATAGCCAAAGATTACCTCCTTTTGTAGTTTTTTTAAAAAAATTATAATCCTTTTGTCTAACATCTTAGAAATTTACATTTTGTTTTTCATTTTCTTATTTCTAGTCAAGTTTACTCGATTATTCCTTCTAGTTTTAGTTTCTTTAAAGCAGAGGTAGAAATGGAAAAAAAATGTCCATGTGTATGTGGGTAGACGTGCATAGATCTGTGGGTAACTCCAGACTCTCCATCTGTAGCCACCAACTTCCAGGACACTGATTTTTGTTTCTAGACATTATAATATGGCTCAAAGTAACATATCCAGGATCTCATGTTAGAAAGCCCTTCTAGAAATAATTTTAGGAAACATAGAGTGCCCAGTATGGCTCCAGCAGTTTATCTGTTCATTACAAGGGCACTTGAGAAGCAGCTCATCTGTTTTCTGGTGGGGCGATTAGTCCTGTTTCCTGCGCTTCAGCATCACGCTCATTGATAGGTGCTCAGTAGCCATTTTAGTCTACAGTATTTACAATTGCTGCTGCTTCTTCCTCTCCTTACTCTACCCTTCCTGAATAGGTAATACCCACTAATTGCCAGTCCAGTCATTTAAGTCATTCCACTACATTACCATATTCTAAAGCTGATATCGTTATTGTTTCTCAATTGTGAGACTATGCAAACGTTCTTATTGCACAGGAATATTAGGAGTAAGAATGAGGAACCAGAAACCTCTGGTGCTGTCTGATAATTCACTACAGATTACTGACAACACTAAATTTCATATTATATCACTTCTGTTACCTTGTCCTCTTCATGTGTGAAGAGAGCAGGATACTCAAGAGAGCCATCTTCACCCTCCACTTCT